CACTAATATCAGATCATAGTTAAGAACGAGTGTATGATTTCTAGCAATGTAATACGAACGATGACACTACATACTTATAAAAATCCAAGCAGATGTGTAATTATTCCTTGTAACCTGAATCAACTCCAGAGAATTCAGAGTAACAACTGAGTTCAGTGGCAGCAGAATCCGACACTAGGACTGCTCTAATGCAAGAAGACCACTGCCACTGGAGTCCTGTCATTTGGGTTTGAAACTTGAGAGAACAGAACATACAACATGTTTGAAATCCTACAGCTTTCTACAGAGCAGTGAAAGCCTTTGCCAGCTACCAGATGGATAATATAGCATGGGAAAAAAAAAAAAATAAAATCCCAGTGATAAGTAGAGCAAGTCTTGAAAGACAGAGAGGCTGCAGCAATATGCAACCCTTAAACTGGGGCAGTACTATTATTAAATTATCTCAATATGCACCCCGGTTTTCTACAAAACTGAGGTTCCCTTGTAGGTAAAAATACACATTAAAATATTTCATATAAAAATGACACAGCCCGGATTTCAGGCTGATCACAAGTAATGGTTCATTTGCACAGTGATACCAGCAGGATCCAGCATGACTGCCTTGCAAAAACTTAATTCTTAATTCTTTCATCATCATCCCTCTTCAATCAAGCAAAACCAACTACAGATGTTCACAAAACAGGTATGAGAGAGATAAAGGAATAAAGCTGATAAAGCTCAGCTTTCCTGAGATAGACTGTTTTTTCTTTTCTTCTCAGGCAGAAAACAACTAGGAAAGAAAAGGGAAAAAACATATAAAAAGGGAAAAACAAGCCCAGAAAGAATAGAAAAAGTGGCAGAGAATAACTTAAATAATGATGACATTCATTTGGCAGTGAACTAGGTATTGCAAGCTAATACTGCACTACAGCCAGAAAGAATCAGGGGTCTTGGGCTTAAATTTTTGCATTTGTGCAGTGATTATTGCTTTTAAGGGTCAGATACCATCTTGCACCAAGGGAGAGGGGTAGAAATTGGATATCCCTCATATTAAGGGGTTGGATTTTGAAATCAGCTTATTTGACACGTAGGCCATTTAATATTGCACTAAAGAGTTTCTGCGTGCGCATAGGAAGAAAGTCACATAGAGAGTAAGACCAGTCAAATCTTTATTAAATCTTCATTAAATGTCACTTTTTTCTGATGCATCTGTGTTTTGTTTTCCTACCTCTCCTCAAACAGCAAGAAATGATCTAAAAGCAGCAGCACTGATCATTCAACACATTTCATGCCACATATGATGCCCAAGTTTCCTATCCATAATTCCTATTCATAAATTTAATGGAGTGTTTTGATAATTAAAAAGAATTTTATATATAAGTAGATAGAAAGCCAGAAAGAATTCAAAGGAATACTGACATACGGGTTATCCCACTTTCAGATGCTTAATGGATTATTCCTTTATATGTCTTGAATATTTGCATGCCTACACCAACTATTAACTCATTAACTCATTAAGGCAAGCAAGGTACTTCCAATAATTCAAAATTAGAGATAGATAGTAATATTTATATATGACCTGGAGCTGCACACATAAAACCTCCTGATATTTCATCAGGCTCCTCTTTTTCAATCTTTATTGTTAAATTTCTGTTACTTCTGCTTTGCTGTGTATAAAAGATTTAAGACTATGAATAGAAAGAGTTCAGTAAAGTTGAAGGACCACACTGTTTTTGCAAGTAAATAAGCACCACTTAAAAGACAAACCAATTCCAATTACAGTTTTGTGTTTCGATTGCTCGCATCTTTTATCTAGTTTTGTCTGGTTCTTTACATTGATGACAGGGTGCACAGCTGAGCTGGCAGTTGTGATTAAGAGGTCAAGCATTGAATTAAAAAGTTTTTTAATCTACTTTTTTTCTCAACTAGCACTTCAGTGTCCTAAATCATTCATATCAGCAGGAGGCTATGGGCAAACACTACCCCCTAGTCAAAAAATACAGAGAGAAGCTTCATTATCACCTATTGCTTGAAGTAAATAAACTCAATAGGAGTTCAGATAATCCAAGCACATATATTGCCTTCAAATTCAATAATTGCTTTCTTTTCCTTCTTCCGACCTATCAATTCCTCTTTGAAAAGCTTAAGAAAAATTAAGTAGGTTTTGTGTGGGTTTTTTTGTTTGGAGGGGGTTCCCCCCCCC